CGGCGGCGAAGGCGCGGCGGAGGGCGCGTCGAAGAGGGCGCGCCAGCCCGTCTCGATGTTGTCGCGCAGCGATCTCTTGACGCGCTCCAGCCGCTCCACCAGCGCGGGGAAGGACATGGTGCGAACAGGGGGGACGCGGGCGGCGAGGAGGGCGGGGAGGAGGGGATGGGGGCGACGGGGGGGAACTTGTTGAGGGGATGCGGGCGGGGAGGGCTTGAGTCGCGGTGGCAGTATTTAATGATCAGTGCGGGCCGTTGGTGCGGGGCTGGGCAGTTTCTTATGTGCGCCCCAGCGGCAGCTGCAGAAACATGTCCACGTATTGTCCACGTGTTGTCCACGTGTTATCCACGTGTCCACGGTATGTACGTGTACCTCCGCCATACGCTGGTACACGTTTCCACGCGTCCACGTGTGTCCTTGGGGCGGAAGCTTCCAGAACCCTCCCCGCGCCCCATTCGCCCACTTGTCCGCGCGCCGCCCCGCGCCGCCCGGCACCCCACGTCTTTCGCCGCACCGTCGCGAGCTCGCTGCACAAATCCACCCGCCTGCCTCCTTCTCCCCCCCACCTTCGCCCCTTCAACCCTCCATCTCCGCCCTCTTCACCCCACCCCCTCCGTCCCCCTTTCACTCTCCCCCATCTCTTTCTCCTACTCACTCACTCACTCATTCACTCTCACACACGCACACTCTCTCTCTCTCACACACTCACTCTCTCTGTGTCTCTTTCTCGCACACGACCATGGCTCGCGCTTCCCCCGCCTTTTCGCTCGCGGCGCCGGTGACAGCACGCTCGTGGCGGGCAGCGGCGGCCGGGGGGTACGTTTCGGGGCGGTCGGTGGGGCGCGCGCCGGTGTGGCGCGCAGCTGCCAGTGGGCCGTGGGAGCGGGTACGGCGGGCCGTGCGGGTGTCTGCGTTGACGCTGGCGCTGGCGACGAGCGGGGTGTTGGGGCCGGTGGAGCGGGACGCACTGGCGGCGGGGGCGCCAGCGGCAGCGGTGAAGGACACGTCGGGGACAGGGGACGCGGAGGCGGCGGCGATGACGCTGGGGGCGGTGACAATCGGCGGGCTGGTGATGCGGGCGATCGTGCACGCCCGGCGCGACGAGGACAGCGAGCGCGAGAGGCTGGCGGCCGAGTGCGGGCGGCTGGAGAGGGAGGAGGGCGAGCGCATGCGCAGGAGGGAGCGCAAGAAGATGGAGATGGTGGAGGGGACCGTGGTTAAGGACGAGGAGCTGATGACGGAGCTGATGAAGAGGGTGCAGAGCCTGGAGGACGGCGAGGAGGACGGCGAGGCCGAGGACGAGATGAGGCACTCGCCGATCCCGGACAGGGGCATGGGCAGCGCCGTGCTGGAGAGGCCGGACGGCGAGGACGGCGACGTAGGGGAGGTAGGGGAGGTAGGGGAGGCGGAGGAGGAGGAGCAGACGGCCAAGCCGGAGGAGCTGGATATGCTGAATAGAATGTGGAACCTTAGCTCGGGCGACTCGGACAAGCCGAACAGGCCGACGCCGAAGGCGTGACGGGCGCGAGGCTGTGCGGCGCCAAGAAAGAAATAAAAACGTGTAAAGTTGTGGAAGCTGTGTTGTTTGCGTCGCGAGCTCTGGGCGCGAATACTGTAACACCCTCGGGAGGGGTGGCACGTGAAAAAGAGTATTAAAAAGGGCGGGGACGTCCATGCGCGCGCGTCCGTACACACACACGGACGCACGGGATGACTGCGACTGAGCACGTGGACGACGAGCTGGGCTGGCTGCTGCTGGCGCGGGGGCTGGCGCGGCGCGCCGGGGACGTGGCGCTGCAGATC